GAGGAATTAATTAACAGTGAGGGGTAACTTTACATTGCGTACGTCGTGTCTCGTCCGTTGACTTACCAGCAGCGAAATTGAACTGCGAGGGGTCAATAAAGTGGGTGGTTGAAGGGAGCCTTAAGTAGGTCCTACTTCTTTTTCTTCCCTTCTGTCGTCTCTGCCTGTCTGTCGTACTCTTAACTCTTTCCCTGCACTAAGTGACCGTTGTTGTGTCGATGTGTTTCTCTTTATTACTGAGACCACAGAGGTCAGGAAGAGCACCGGCTGTCCACCGTTGTGTCCTCTAAGAAATTGAGTTAAGTGGCTGGACGCTTCCCCGAAACAGTAGTGGACATCTGCGCTATCGGTTTGGGGCAGGAAAGCAGACTGGCCTATGATTTGACAAAATGAACCATACGCAAGTCCCACTTTTGAATGGGGGGGGTCCTAATTGGAGAATAATTCCCTGTGAAAATTGCCCATAACTTTGAGTTGTCTCTAGTATCACCTCTTATCTTCAGCGTAAATATTACTTCTTTTTTTTTCAATTACCGTAAAACTAATATAGTGTAAAAAATAATATAGTGTAAAGCGCATAGAGCCTGCTGTTGTGCTGGGATATGCGCTATACAAATGCTATTTATTGTTATTATTTTAAAACTCTTACTAAAACTAAAACTCTCTGTTATATCCACAGAATAAATCCTGAGCTAAGGGCTCTGCATGCTATCTATATGATCAAATAAGATTCGTTTTCAGTTCCGTGTGAACTTATACGTCATCCAAACAGTGACACAGCATGTCGTTAGATCTAAATGTAGATATTATGGCACTGCCTTTCAATGTGTGGGTCTATCGATTAGCGTGCTGAATGTTTCACGTCCTGATTCGGCGTGCCTTTGATTTTACTTCCTCGTTTGAGATATGGCACGTTTACTAAGGTACTGATGTGGGTGGTTGACGGGTGCTCTGGTGTGGTTTGCTCAAACATCTATCGTCTTTATCTCCCCTCATTCTATTTTTTGTATTTGTTACTTCCTTGTAACACCTCTAATCTTCTGGCGCTCATATGACCTTATGCAGTTGCGAGCGCCGTAAAACCTCTACTAAAACTAAGGTACCGATCTGTTTTATTTGTTGCTTTCTTTTGTTTGGTTGTTTTTCTTTTTATGTACGGGCACGCCCAGTGTCAGTGATACGTAGCAGTTAGGCACTTGGCCGTCGTACACAGAAGACACGAGTTCGATTCCCTTTTTAGGAGGGTTTGTTTGTTTGTTTGTTTGTGTGTGTTTGTTCGTTTGTTTGTTTTGCTTTTTAATCGAGTGCCTCGGTCTGTCTGTTTGGACGTTGTATCCCTCTCAACCCGATTGGAGGTGGTTGGAGGTCGCCTCTGGTAGGTCCTACTTCTTTACCTTCCCCTCTGTTGTTTCTGTCTTTCTGTCTTATTTTTTTCCCAGCACTAAATGACCATTATTGTGTTGATGTTCTTCTCTTTACTCAAACAAACAAACATCAACCGGATTGGGTCCTGACAGGCAGTGAAGAAGTAGCTCGCCTCCAAAATGATCTGAAGTATGTCAGTTAGGGGAAGGGAGACGTAAATAATCTACAGTCCTGATTACATTTCTTTATGTTAGTCTGTTTGTTTCTTTTGTTTGTTTTGTTTGTTAGTTTGTATTTTGTAGTTGCTTTTGGGGTACTTCGTTTCTTCAGGAAGAAAAAATGGAGCGGGGAAAAGAAGGGTGGAGTGTAGAAGAAGGCAAGAAGAAAAAAGAATGGTCAGCGCAAAAGAGAATGGGAAAAAGAAAGCGAACAAGCAAAAGTTGACAGTCATTGGCGCACTGAAAACTGATCCTTTTTGTTCTTTTCTCCTCTCTCCCCAAGGGCATGAGCGTGGCCTTGATGGAGGGAGATAGTGAGAGTACTATTAGCATGCTGTTAGTGTCCTCTCTCTCCTCTGTGTCTCCCTCACAGGTTGGGTTTATGTAAATAGACTCGGTGCACTGAAGCAGGAGGTGGGGGATCCTCCATTGATGGCTAGGGTCTGTGTGCCATATTTACTTCAAGTCTCAACGTACTGTTAGGCTTTTTTTTCTTCTCTTTTTTACGTTTTCTTTTTCTTAACCGTTGAACTCAGGTCAAAAAGCGTACCAGGCTATAAGTTACCGTGGCTGTTGGGTCAAATTCCCATCCTGAACTTGAATTGTTTTGCAGAATTTTTTTATTTTTTTTTGTATGGTTTGTTTGGT